CTCAAAGGCACCTAATGAGGACAGATTGAAAGCAAGAGTCAAAAGAAAAACAACACATAACATAGTGAACTTGAGTAAACGGAAGGCGGAGCGTGGTCTAAGAGAAATTTCCAAAAGACAAAATCTATTAAAAGCTACAAAGAACAGGAAGATGTGAAGAGCCATGATCGCTAATATCCTAAGGGAACACGACACATAGAAGAAAGAAGACAAATGTCTTCAAGTGGTGAAGTATATTAATTTACCCATGTTCTCGTGTACGTACGCACCCGAGAACATGAATAAAGTAATATACTTATGAGAAGGCAGTCGACCAACTTGATTTCAGTTGTCGCCTTTTAACAGTGTTGAAATAATTGTAACATGCACAAATAAAATGAAGGGTTTAAAAAAAAAAGGAAAAGAAAAGAGATAATCACTGAAAATCACTGAGAATTGCATGACATCCGGGTTTAGGAAACTTTGTGAAGGCTGTGATCAACGTTTGTGTGAACTGAGGCAACGGCATTAGAACGGAGACACCCAGCGATCAACAGATTATCAACATTGTCGCAGCGGGGTAAGTAAAGACGACTAGAATATAAGGAAAGTCAGATACAAACACTTCCTGTTGTCCCCATTAACGAAAGTAGCGACAGTTTGCGACGTTTCAACCAAAGCAACAAAGTAAACAACGCTGTTAAGTTGATGCATCTTCATCAAATGTAAAAACAAAGAAACATGAACCTTAGAAACAACATTTGGATATTTTCATCACAAAACAATGTTCGATCACTACGTCAGTAAACTTTATTGTTATGAACTTAGAAAATTTGACAAATTCACTACACTTCCGGTACACGTACATATATATATATATATATATATATTATTTTTTTTGTAATTATGTCACGATGCTTGCATTTCCAATTGCATATGCTTTTTTTTTATTTCAATGAGAGATAAGGTGATTTCATTTTAAAATATGACAAAGTTTAAAGCAATATTTTGTGTTTTTACACATCTTATCGATGGAACAAAAACGAATATTTTAAACATTTTTGCCTTTTTTTTTAATCAGATCAGTTGTCTAAACAATTACCGAACAATCAATTATCCAAACAAATTACTTTCTACGCGCCTCATTCAGATAACCAACCTTACAACTTTTAACATACACACACACATACACACACAAACACATGTGTATGTGTATGTATATATATATATATATATATATATATATATATATATAAAACAATATATATTTTTTTTATATCAAAATTTATGAAAATCCATGACAAAGTGGAAAAAACATTTTCGTGTGATGCTCTAATAAAACATGAAGGACGTATTTATTCTATCACCAGTAATAAATGCCAGAAAGAATACACAACGGAAACTGCAAGGAATTTAGATAAAATATTATATAAACACAAAAGGGATCTTTTGTAAAATGACACACTCACTGCATTATTTGCTCACCGTGATGAGTTTTTTTATTTATTTAAAATATGCTACTCTAATTAAAAGAGAAAGAACCTTTCCTAAAATGGAAAATGTACAGAAAGTGCTTTAATCGCTAGATCATCCACCGTAAATTAAAACCCAGATTCTTACAACAGTTTAACTTTCTTGGCAGATCTTCACTTATGAGATATTTAAGAAGACAAATAATAGAAACATGAACAAAAACAAAAATAAATTAAATAAAATAGGCTAGACTATATGCTCCCCACCCACTAATTTAAATTTAAAATTCTCAGCGACCTCACTTTTCCGTGTGCATGTGTTGTCACATCAACGTAAACCTCACTTTAGTCCGATTAAGTTTTAAGGACAAAACCCGTCACATGAAAACTTTCTCCAGCTTGTCATAGATTTTCATTATATATATATATATATATATATATATATATATATATATATATATATATATATATATATATATATATAATGTCGAACATACACTTAAAAACCATAGGTGATATTTTATTTCAGTGAAGCCAACCAATAAAACGTGGCTTCAAATCTTCTGACCTGTAATATATTGATTATGCCTTTGTATGTCAGACACTTATGTGCCATCCGTGATACACGCTTAGACGATCATGTATCTTTCGATACATGACTGACGAGGCAGACTTTTTGGCGCAGTAGGTTGCCATTTCTTTCTGCGGTAGGCCAGTTGCTATCCAAGGCTATAGAACCCGGTCTGTCCTGCTACCTACCGATAACTGGAGGGAGAAGAAGAGGATTCATACCTTTCCCGAGGGTATTAGCACGTCAGTCAATCAGGCATGTGCCATGCGTGATACACGCTTAGGCGATCATATATCTTTCGATACATGATTGACGAGGCAGATTTTTTTCCCGAAGTAGAATGCCATTTCTTTCTGCGGTAGGCCGGTTGCCATCCAAGGCTATAGAACCGAGTCTGTCTTGCTATTTACCCATAGATAGTGGGAGAAGATGAGGATTCATATCTTTCCCAAGGGTATTAATACGAAAGTGAATTTAATGGATTCAACTGGAATTCGAACTCGGCTCTCCGATTCCTCAATCCGAGTCGCTATCCACCGTATATTTCTATAAATGCACACTGATGAATATAACATCATATGTCTGTACCCAAATATAAATGTACGTATATGTGGAAAATCATATGTAAAATTACATTCAGAAATGACTGCCTGTTTCTGTATATCCAAATGATTTACTTCATGCAGGAACGTATATGTAAATTTGTAGTTGTATGTATGCAAGTACATGTAACAGTGACTATATGAATGTTTAAGTATCTGGAATTGTGCGACTGTATATTTGTTTGAACGTATGACTTTGGGCAACCCTTTCTCTGCATACGTGTGTATCTGTTTGTGCGTGATTTTTGAACGTCTATATTACATCATGATGTATCGCTTTAGAACAGTAGTTTTACACATAATGAGTCGAGGAAAACCTTCTGTAAAAGGAAATCAACATTTCAATGGTTTCTCTTCTCTCGAACAATTAAAGTATGAATTTAAATAAGCTGGATTGTCCTGATTTTCGAGATGTCTGTGTGGTGTATTGAGGTTGGGTTCATAAAGGTTAAGTAGTCGACCAAGAACATCCGAAGCCATTTAATAAATAAATAGAAAAAGGGTGACAAGATAGGAAACAATAAAAATGTATTGATGGTTCTTAATTGAATAATCAGGCAGATAGGCTGTCAAACGGCCGTAAATGTGTATGATTAAGATTTGGATTAGGATGATAGGGGGTTGGCTGTAGATTTTGATAACAATAATAAGATTATGACAAAACGTGTCGAAATAATGTTGACAAAGATGATGAAGAGGTGATGAAGGAGTATTGATGAAAATTGATGAGAACAATAACAGTTATAGTAAAGAAATCGGAGAAATGTTAATATTGAAAATAATAAACTGGACTACTACTACTATCACTACTGCTGATACTACTACTAGTACTACTAATAATAATTATTAGGTCGTCCATCGGCACGCCTCATAGCATCCACATGCTTCTTTCTGATACTGTTTACGTGTATCCTCATCAGGGATTCGGTTGGGTATATAGCAGGAGACACAAGGTGCTACTCTGTGTGTTTCCGTCTGACTTGACAAATTTAGTTTCACCCATTGTCCAGTAAAAAGAGTCTTTTGCACGACACCATTATAGTTCAATGCCAACAATCGGTTTTGTTTTATTCTACCACTGACCACACCCAACAACCTGCTGTCGATATCTGTACCGTAATCCTTGTCAAAGGGCAACCCGTGATTTGGTAGTTACGGGTTTGAATTCAAAGTTTCACTTCTCCTAGACTGTTTGAGAACCACAGTTAGAGAGCCCAGTCTGCTCCGCTATTTAACCCATAGCTGGAGGAAGAAGAGATGGATTCATACCTTTCCCAGTGTTATTTGCGCGTATGTGAATGTAACGAACTCGACTGGAATTCAAACTCCGCTCTCCGATTTCTGATTATCCGTTATTCATTGCACATACAATAATAATAATGATGTCTGGAACTAGTAAAAAATTAATAAACCCACAAACATAAGGTAGCTACACATGTGCACTGGAAGATACACAAGAAACACAAAATCGAAACCACTGAGATATGCCTATGAGCACGAACTAGACACAGTTACCCAAAATTATGATGTAACAAACCTCTGGGACATGTTCTGATATTATCACAAACGACAAGAAATTCAGAAAGTGTATGCCTATTGACATGGCAGTACCATCTTAGAGTCACATCTAAATATTTGGGGACACCCTCAATCAAAATTCATTTGAGTGAACCAGGTTACTCAACCTGAAGTTATTTCTAACCTACAAATTCATGCACTGCTTTCATCAAAACCTTTTAGTACATCGCGTAAATTTACTTATGATGCATGTGCATAGCATAAGATTGCTAGACTGGGCATCATAATATTAAATGGTGTGACGCTACAACGGACATAGTTTCCATGGCTTCAGATCTTAATTAATTGACCTTATTATAATCAATTTTTATAGTACAGATATTTTATGACTAATATTAATCACTGCTACTATTTCTACTGTTATTAAAGCTACTATTAATATATATATATATATATATATATATATATATATATATATATATATATATATATATATATATATATATATATATACCATAGACATTCTTATTATCAACAACAATTTCATTTTTTCATTATTTTGGATGTTGTACTTAATAAGCATATCTGTGCGCATCCCTCGGATGATAGGCTAATCCAAATCCTTCTTTAAAGATTTTAAATTACCTCTAAACTCAGTCGGACCATAAACAAATCATCATCGCTCTCGCTATCATCATCAAGATCATCTTTGTGTAGCCGTTTTTGTCATGCGTTATTGGAATAGGAACTAAAATAATTTATGATCAAAATGAAATTTATGGAATATTTATTACTGTCTTTGTGCAGAAAGGCTTTTGTCTGAAACAAAAAAAATAATATATACACGCAATATATACATCAATATACATGTATTTGTGGGTAATGATAGATAGATAGATAGATAGATAGATAGATAGATAGATAGATAGATATACAGTGAAAATTCCCAATAGTAACTCAGTCAATATGGAACGAAGGGCTTTTCATAAAAGTCTCTCTGTTCTGATTGATGCGAATTATGGCTTTAGATGAAAGGAATATAAGAAAACTGAATAAATTCATGAGAACTTGGAACTGGAGACTGAAACTAAAACTAGAAAGAATTTGAATAAATCTAAACAAAATGGAAATGGCATATGAGATTTAGGCTTGCCAGGCAAGAGCAATCATTTTTCATGTTTTATATTTGAAAAAGAAACTCTGAATTATAGAGACAGATGAGCCAGAGATACAGGTCATTAAAATACAATATAACCCGGATATAAGAGAGTTGTCGAGACCGGATAAGAAGTCTCTTATATCCGGGTTTCTCTTATATCCGTGTTTAGTCTATTTTATATACATTAACACAGGCTCTAATTTGGGACCAGAGAAAATCTCTCTTATATCCGGGTTTCTCTTATATCCGTGTTTAGTCTATTTTATATACATTAACACAGGCTCTAATTTGGGACCAGAGAAAATCTCTCTTATATCCGGGTTTCTCTTATATCCGTGTTTAGTCTATTTTATATACATTAACACAGGCTCTAATTTGGGACCAGAGAAAATCTCTCTTATATCCGGGTTTCTCTTATATCCGTGTTTAGTCTATTTTATATACATTAACACAGGCTCTAATTTGGGACCAGAGAAAATCTCTCTTATATCCGGGTTTCTCTTATATTCGGGTCTCTTATATCCGGGTTACACTGTATATTCACGAAAAAAGTTAATACTTTTCCGTCGTCTTTTCAGTATTACCAGATGCACTACACTCGTAATATTATGGAACTCTGTTTAATATATATGTGACAGAATGACTTTAAAGAATAATGGCATGTAGTGTATTTAGTGTATTATCAGCTATCTATAAGGTCTTTGTTATTCACTAAGTTTATCCTAGTTTGGCGCAAGGCCATAAATAAAGAGGATTAAGTGAGAGTGGCGATCATAACTAATCAAAATTAATTTACGAAGAACGCAAATAAGAATTAAATAATATGAACATCTACGAATTATAGTAAAGCATTTTCGGTGTATAAGACGCACTTTTATTTTTACTACAAAATTTGATATCATAATTTGCTTGTCTTGTACAGTGAAGGGATGAATATATATATATATATATATATATATATATATATATATATATATACCCACTGACATGTGAACGGAGTGATTGCTGCAGGGTCCGTCTACAAAATTCTGGAGTTGGGATGCTGATGGTAGCATTAATCAGCTCAGAGACAAACTTTATATTTGTATTTATTCTACGCGCGCGCGTGCACACACACACACACACACACATATATATATATATATACATTGGTGGCTCTACAAGAGGGTGCTGAACAACAGCAAATACTCAATCCCTCCGCTATTCAATCAATTCAAAGTCCTAATATCTACAGCAGATAACGTTGAATGTTTTACTCGGAAATTCTCATCCAACTTAACACTTGACTCATTTGAAGTACCCACACTTACACCCCCCCGCCCCAACCATAGAATGATGCTCTACTGAGTGATATGTACATAACCCCGTCGATGGTTCTCCCATAAGGCAAGTAGAAGTGACAGAATACCACCAGAGCTGGCTCCGGTTCTCTCCAAGCTATACAACTATTGCCTCAATGCTTCCTATTTCCCAGCTTGTTGAAAATCCGCCTCTGTAGTCCCTGTTCTGGAGAAACTTCTAACCGCCATCTCAGTCTCTTACCGATTTTCGGCAAACTATTCGAGGTTTTAATCAATGCTGACGTGGTTCTGCATTTTAACGCTCACAACTTACTCTCTGACAAACAATATGGATTCTGTTTTGCCGCCATTCTGTTTTTACGGCCATCACTGAATATGTATATCAAGCTCTTGGTAATAATGGCGAAGCTCGAGCTGTGGCTCTAAATATATCGAAGGCGTTTAACAGGGTTTGGCATGCTGGTCTTCTACGTAAGCTTCAGGGATACGGTATCACAGGACAAATATTTGATTTAATCCAATAATTCATATCAAATCGGGAAATGAAGGTCGTTCTGAATGGTCTCGGTTCCAGGTCGTTTCGCACGAACGTGGGTGAGTGCCAATGCTCTATCCTGGATCCTACGCTGTTTCTGATCTTCATCAATGATCTTCCTGATGTCAACAGTTCCCAAGTAGGCTGCTATGAAGATGACATAACCATTTACTCCTGTCTTAATAGTAAATACGTCAGCGCTAACAAAGTTAACCTGGCTGCTGCTCTCGAAAACGACCTCCAATCAGTGATTAACTGGGACAGGAAATGGCTCGTAAATTTTAATGCCTCCAAAAATAAACTGATCTCATTTAACCATTATAGAGAAACTTCCATGCCCACCATCAGCATGGAGATCATCTAACTGTGTCTTCTTCGTCTCACGTTTTTGAATACTTGAAGTGAACAAGTATATATTGAATCAATAGCTGAAAGAAAAGTTGGTTCACTGTGTCGTTCCAGAAGGTTTTTCTCGTCACAGTCCATCTTACACATCTACCATTCGTACGTGCATTGAATACTGTTGCCATATCTGGTCTGGTGCTCCTGCTGTTCATCTCGAAGTTCTCGACAAAATCCAGAGGATCTGCAATGAAATCGATCCTGACCTGACATCTCGACTTAATTCAATTTCTCACAGACGGGGTGTAGATTCTCTCTGTCTTCTCTGTCTTTTCTACAAATATTTTCATGGCAACTCTTCTGACGAGATTTTTTCTTTGGTGCCTCGACTACATGAATTTAGGTGTGCTACTAGATTGGCAATTAGGTCCCACTCTTTACTGTTCAAATAGTTAAATGTAACCGCCACTTCTACTCCAACAGTTTCTTTTCTCCCACTTCCCGTCAGTGGAACTCCCGTTCTCTTGCTTGCCTTCCTATAATCTTCAAAAATTTAAATGCAACGTCAATCGCCATCTTCTGTTGTCTTGAACACCGTTTATCTTTTATTTTTCCCTCAATCCCTCCTATACCACAGTTTTTCTCCCAGTTTCACTCTCTGTAACTCCCTGCATGCTAGAGGCACCCCCCATCTTGCTTAGAGTGAAATGCTTAAAAAGAAATATGAATAAAGATAAAAAAGAAAAATTAAATGAGTTTTTCATATTATCTTTTTATAGATATATTTTTATTTATATATATTTACACACACACACACACACACACACACACACACACACACACACATATATATATATATATATATATATATATATATATATATATATATCAGTGACGACTCCGGGTGTCAGGTATGGCAGGCTCCGCCCTAGTGATTCAACATTCCAGTATATCTATTATCATATTCAGTGTTGACTTCAGCTGGATCCAAAATTAATTCTGTGCCTTAAAACATTGACTGAAATACATTTCATTGATATTGTTCATAATGAAGAAGAAAGAAAAAGAAAGAAAGAAAATTAAAAAAAAGTAAGTAAAAAAAGAATGAAATAAATTTAACATGGCTATACTGTTTTTTAGTGGAATGTACAAATTAAAAAAGGGCAAATTATATTTAGCCTGACTTAAAGTCAGTGAAAATCGAAGAAAGTAGCAGCCTTAACTTGTTTTGGGGTGAAGAGCATGTGACTAAGGTAGTGTTGAGGAAATATGGTATTAGTCAGTAGTAGTGATCATAAATGTAGAATAAACTAAACTAAAAATTCACAGACAGAGATGCATAAATGCACTAATGCATAGATATATACAAACATACACTCAAGATAGATACACATGTTTCACATCTCTGGAAAAAATTTTTTAAATAAATGTTTATTTTTATAAAGCTATTGCAATAAACATTAAATAACAAAATGTGTTTCCTGCACAAAGATTTTAAAAAATTATATATTTTAATTAGAGTAAAGTAATCATTTTAGCATCTAAGTTATACCAATAGTATATTTTGTTCGAGATTGTAATGAGCCTGACAAACATTGATGACCTAAAATCCCCACTGATATATATATATATATATGGAAGAATATGAAGAATTAATTTCTATATATCAGAAAGATGAAAGGGAAATGAAAATGGAAAAAATACTGTGTAACCCATTTTGTTTTCTAGAAGAATTTTGTCACACAAAAGTAATGTTTTGTTGATGAAATTACATATATATATAACAATTCCATTAAGAAAAACATTAAGTTAATCTGATGAAGTCCTTCTGAAGAAGATTTTACATGTTGTCATTCATTAGCCTATTGTTTATTTAGAGTTTAATCCATTTGAAAGTATATTTATAACAGCAATGCAGATTTCAAATGTGAAATGAGCATGATCAATCAGTGTGCTTCATTCAAATAGCATAAAAAATGACGAATGATTGCTTAGTTGTGCATATGTGGGTGAAGAAATTTGAGGAGGAAAAATAAAAAGTAATATAGTGAAGAAATGATTTAAGGTATGTATTATGAGTATTACAATGGATAGGGCTGAGGATAAAATTCTCTTTGGTGCTAATATTAGATATGATGATGAAATGTTTAATTCCTTTCTAAGTGACAATGAAAGCAATGTGGATAACATATTCTTTGATCCTAATACTGGATCTGATGAGGAAATATCTCATTCTTTTAAAAATTATAGCCAAAGTTAAGGAGATGAATTTTCTCTTTGTTCCTAATACGAGGAAATCTCTTATTCCTTTCCAAGTGACAATGAAAGCGATGTGGATAACATACTCTATGATCCTAATACTGGATATGATGAGGAAATATATCATTCTTTTAAAAGTTATAGCCAAAGTAAAGGAGATGAATTTTCTCTTTGTTCCTAATAAGAGGAAATCTCTTATTCCTTTCCAAGTGACAATGAAAGCAATGTGGATAACATACTCTTTGATCCTAATACTGGATCTGATGAGGAAATATCTCATTCTTTTAAAAGTTATAGCCAAATCAAAGGAGATGAATTTTCTCTTTGTTCTTAATAAGAGGAAATCTCTTATTCCTTTCC